GAGTTCTCAGAGCAGGCAAGAGTTATGAGTGGCTAGCCCAGTGTGGTGCATGAGCATATTCTTCCTCTTAGAGAGTTGAGTCTGGAGCTACGAGGTCTTCACATTTTGGTACATAATTTTAAATAAGAATTGGAGTTTGTGATAACTTCTGCTTCTGGCACGAAAAACTGAAGTTAATGTTTAAAAAAGGTGTGTGTGTTAAAAAAAAACATTTAAAAAAAGATGTGTGCCGTAAATATGAAGATAAATAAAAATAATAAATGAATAAGTCTGGAGGGGTAGAGAGGCTGCCTTAACTTTTGTTCTATTTAGGTGTTGTAACCATCAGAACACCTTAATAAAATCTCAGTTGAGCGGGGCCTTTAACTTGGAGTCAAACATCTTTGTACACACTGCTTAATAAAACACACATTCTTCTCTTCGGCTAGCTCTCTGGGGTTAATGGTGCCTACATTTCCTTCACTAGGTAAAGATTCCCTGACATGTTAGCAATTGCAGATATTTGGTATAAGATTATAAGTTCTATATCAACTTACAATTTTCCTCAGGTAGGAATCCAAGTAGAAATGTGAAGAAAAATGTAAACAAATGTATTATTTGCAAAATTCCTACAATATTAATGGTCTCACCTTTTTAGTGTCTTATGGCTTAGCTGGTGTATATGTGTATGTTAAGTACATACTGTCAAATCACATGACTGGTAAGGAATTTACTTTTGATTCTTTTTCTTGACCTTGTTCTCTTCCCCAAATATGGCATCAGCTTTATAAGGGTTCATGATTTTGAAGCTTGAGCCTTTAAAAAGAAATTTTAATATGCCCTGGCAGGGTAGCTCAGTTGGTTAGAGTATCATCCTGATACGCCAAAGTTGCAGGTTCGATCCCTGGTCAGGGCACATATAAGAGTCAACCAATGAATGCATAAATAAGTGGAACAACAAATTGATGTTTCTCTCTCTCTAAAATCAATAAAAATAAACACTTTAACTTTGCATTAACCTTGTTCTGTTGCAGAGGGAAAAACTATGAAATGAAAAAAAAGTTTGAACCCTTTTGGAGAACTGTGACTCAGAGTTACTCTCAGACATTGTTAGCATTTTTATAAAAGTTTCAGAATTAAAAAAACGAGTCATTTTTAGTATTTGCAAAAGCCTGGTAGTACATGTTTTGAATATTAGTCCCTTTTCACAGTTTTGCCTATTATAAAGAACATGTGAGGATTCAGTCTGCGAAATGTGCTCTTGGTCCACAGAAAAAGCGTATCATTTGAACTTGGCACTCCGTAGTAGATGGATTTTTAGCAGCCTATTAACTCCGGGCACTTCTAGCAGTCTTGGATGTTAAAGTGCCTTTGGCCATTATTTCTGAATTCCTAGGAGGCTCTTGGGTGCTTGGGTCCAGCCGGTGCAATGATCTTTGATGGCAGTATTTCCTCTCCATGCCTTTGCCTAAGGGAGCCTTCTGGGAGCTGAGATTCCCAGAACTATACTGTGGACTAAGCCATCCCCCAAGCCATCCTAGGGCCCAATGTCAGATTTGGAAAGCTTTGGTAGAACAGAGGAGTGAATGCCTGGGAACTTCAAAGAGAGCACAAGTTCCTCTGTAACTTTTTATTGGTCTGGTGTGCTATTATAGGTATGTCTGGGGTGGTAATGCTTCTGTGATACACATTCAAGTTTGAAAACCACTGGTAATCTTCACTTTGTTGAATTTTGACTTGCTGTGATACAAAACAGTGGTCTCCAAAGTGGGGCACATATATAGTAAGACACTGAAAAGCAGGATGGATATTACAAAATATAATGTGCATAATATTTTGTCACAGTATTGGTATATCTGTTCATATACATAATTAAAAATAAATTCACATATATGGGAGATACTTGGACAACCTTAGGCAAGTTGCTTAAATGCTTTAAAAGCCTCAGTTTTTTCATATATAAAATGGGGATATAATACCTATTTCTCAGGGTTGTGAAGATGAGATGAAATAATCTATATATATACTAGTAAAAGCCTAAGTGATCGTCAGGCCGTTTGACTGTTCGCCTGGTAGCTATGACACACAACGACCACCAGAGGGCAGACTCTCTGACCAATAGAGGAGGGAGCCCGATTCCTCGCAGAATCAGCCATGGGTTAGGTTGCTGCTGGGGCTCTGTCAGCCCCGAATCTGCTTCACCTGCACCCTGGACCCAGAGAGTGGTTTTGGCCAGATCCCCGCAGGCCAGTCCAAGGGTCTGTGCACCGGGCCTCTAGTTACAGTGCCTGGTGTATGATAAGCATTCAATAAATATTGGCCCTGGCTAGTGTGGCTGGTTGGGCATTGTCCCATGCACCAAAAGATCACTAGTTCGATTCCTGGTCAGGGCACATGCCTACACTTCGAGTTCAGCCCCCATTTGGGAGGCAACCAATCAATGTTTCTCACACTGATGTTTCTCTTTCTCCCTCTTTTTTTCTAAAAAAACAACAACAATTAAAAATAAATATTGGCACTATTATCATTGCACTGGGTAAATGGGAATGGGTTTTCTTATGCTGCCTTTCAATATTGCTGTATCTTTCAATATTGTTATAAGTTGTATACCTAGTAAGGACAATCAGTGGCTACTGATAAACTAAAATCTAGAAACTGAGATTAATTTTTTTTCTATTTATATCTTTCTGTTCAAATGAAAGTATTTAAGCACAATTGTTACCTCGTTTGAAAAGTCTTTAGAGGCAGCCAGCTCTCAGCTCTAGACAAATTCCTTTTATGGCCTACCTTTTGCATATATACACTTAACTATTTATTACTCAAAAATTTTATTAACTGATGACTTGTCTATTTGATCTGAACTACCCTGGGCCAGGCTGAAGTTGTTGGAGAAGGAATGAAAAATGTTGGGTTGGGTCTAAATTGTATTACCAGGGTGTACACTTTTGAGAAGAAATGGGAGGTAAATAAAATAGTTTGGCATTTAAAAGTGTGCTCTTGTTGCAATTGAAGTGGTGATAAATGGCTATGCTCTTGAAAAACCTCTACCTTCAGAACTAGTTGTACATTGTACCAATATTGCACCTCATTGTACTATAGTACCTCATGAAAACCAACCTGAGATAATTATCAGAAAACACCAGATCATTGCATTTAACATTATTCTGATTATCTGAGTTTTTGTTTACCTCACCAAATGTAAACTTACTGAGATCAGGGACCATGTCCTGCATCCCTAGTACATGGCAGTCAATAAATACCTGTTGAATTGACTAGTCACTTGTCCACTGTCATAAAGCTAGTAAGTGGTAGACCTAGGATTTAAATTCACATCTATCTTCACCTATTTCACAGTCCCACAAGAAAGACATTGTCTTCATTTCACACATATAAAAACTTTTCAAAAGAGCAGCGATTTGCCCAAGGTACCACAGGAGGTAAATGGCAAAAAGGTGTCCAAACCCAGGAATATCTGATTTCTGTTACACTCTGGCTACTCCATTGGACTTGCAAATCATTTGACTTTGTTAATACAAAAGTTTCTGTTTCTTATGTGGTTTTATGTACAAATACCACTTCAGGTAAAAGTTTAGAATTATGGATCTGGAATAGTCATGATAACGGTATGGGAGATTACAAAGCATTCTCAAATTCCACTTCAAAAATAAAGCAACTGTGCTTAGAGAAAATATTTTAAAAAGTGTTTTGGGAGGATACTTAATATGCTCTAAAATGTGTACACATTTTAGCTATTTCATATATTGATGATATTCCTTTTCTATATAGACAATACTAGTATGACCAGTCTTGTTTTCTAGTATTTTTATCATAGTTACAATGATATTTAGAATCAAGTTATGAAACTCTGCCTGCCAGAAAATGAATGGGCTTGCCCGTTTCTTTGTTTTAATTGATTTTTAGACAGAGAAGAAGGGAGAAACATCAATTATGATATCCAAACATCAATTGGTTTGCCTCCTGCATGCCCCTCAAATATTCTTTTTTTTAAAAAAATATATTTTATTGATTTTTTACAGAGAGGAAGGGAGAGAGATAGAGAGTTAGAAACATCTATCAGAGAGAAACATCGATCAGCTGCCTCCTGCACATCTCCTACCCGGGATGTGCCTGCAACCCAGGTACATGCCCTTGACCGGAATCGAACCTGGGACCTTTCAGTCTGCAGGCCGACGCTCTATCCACTGAGCCAAACCGGTTTCGGCCCCCTCAAATATTCTTGATTGCTTAGGCAAAAAGGACAGGCACCCGCCTCTAGCCTCTTTGCACTTCCTAACGAGTTGTCTTCCTCTCAGCAGCCTTCCTTTCTGACATCTTCGCATTCCTGGAAGGAAGAACTGGGGAAACGAATCCCTTCTGCTAAGTGATTTGTATGGGGTGACTGATTCACCAGAAATCTCCCAACAGCTACATTAAAAGGATGGGCGCGTTTGTAAGCAAATTCCTTGTCCCATCCTTCTTGTGATGTGGAATGAAGAATGGCGATTCTGAGGAGGTTATGGATATAAAAACTTTAAATTACAGGGTGTTCCACAAAATGAGGCATTTCGTTATCGCATAATCCTAGACCTGAGGGTCCAAGCACCACTTTTTACTTGAATACTTCCATTTTGTTTGGAGGCGGAGGTCTCACTCTACCTATCCATAAGCAACGGAGGGGGCAGAGGCTGAGTCCTTTTAATATGCTTGTAGCAGCGCCTAGCACAGTAAGACTCATTTTTGTGCGAACAGCACTTAAAAGCACAGTTCCTCGAACATGACTGCTGGGTTCAAATCCTAACTCCATTAATCCTATAACCTGAGAAATGAGGTCAGTAGTATAGTTCCAGCATCACAGAATTTGGGTGGAAATCAACCCACGTAAGGAAGTTACTTCCTTTGTGGCGAGTTCCTCCAGCCCAGCTGCAGCCCACGGTCTGCACTGGACCCAGAGAAGCTCGAGTCTAAGCCCCGACCCCTGCCGGTCCCCACGATGCGCATGCGCATCCCGGCTTCCCCGTTACCTTCCCCGAGCTTGCGTGCTGGTCGTCGGCGGGAGATTGGATCTCGCGATGTGCGTGCGCGTGCGCGGTCCTTGCGAGCTCTCGCGCGCTCCACCCCCACCCCCTCGCAGTCCGGGGCTGTATCGGCCTCTTCCTCCTGCGTCCCGGGCAGGACCCTCAGCTGTGGCCACGGCTCGAGCCGGGAGTCGCCACCTCGCCGTCGCCGCTCCAGCTGCCTGCCCCTCTGTCTTGGGCTCTGCGTGCAGTGCAGAGGCGGCGGGCTGGGAAGGGAGCGTCGCCAGCGTGAGGTTCCCAGCCGATGGGCAGCCCCTGGGCGCACTGAGGGGCTGGGCTACTAGCGGCTGAGGTAGGTGGACCCGGGGGGAGTAGTCAACTCGGCTGGGAGTAGAGTCGGGGCGGAGGACGACGGTGGAGGAGGCAGGGAGGCGGCGAGAACGGGGGCCTGCAGCCTGGGGAGGAGAGGTCTGGGACCCGCGCCCAAGGAGGGGCTCTGGCCTAGCCCGGAGCGAAAGGAGGGCCCTGGACGTAGCCTCGGCTTGGAGCCATTATTGGGGGGAACTTCCTCTTGCGGCGGGCGGGAGGGGTCATCCTTTCTTCTCTCTGAGAGGTCAAAGCCAGCCGCCCTCCCGCCCCCTTCATTAAAGCCTGCTGGCTTCCACAGGGACATCTGAATGGAGTGGCCTGTGGACTTGCACAGCTCGCAGAACCCCGGGTGCACGGACAGTGGACGAGGGGTTCTGATGGTGGAGGGTACACCTCCCTTTCTCTAGTGTGGGCGTGTATGGGCTGCAAAGTTGTTGCTGGTACATTAATGATGGCGTTCGGGCACAACAGGTGCTACATCTCTGAACGCCGCATGTCACCGAGGATTCTGGCCGCGGGACACTGCGCTTTGGGGCGCAGTTAAGGGGTAGGAAGAAGACAAAGGAGGCCGTTATTTATGTTCTGTCCCGGTGTCAGGACTTTCCTTGCTGGGCTGCATGCGGAGCTCCTGGCATTTGTTTGGTCTTTGCTGAATAGACTTTCTGGGTGATTGAGGTGGGTGAGTCACAAGTTGATTTCCATTTAGAATTATAAAACCGTATATGATTCTGTATAATTGTTTGAAGCCAAATGACCTGAAATAAATCTCTGATAATTATGTTATGTTGGATCTTTGGAAGAGAGCGGAACTTGGAATTCCTGAAAGGAAGATTTCCCCCGAGTGTAGAAAGCTTCATGAATGTTTTGAAAATTACTGAAAACATAATTCTGTATGTTGGCAGTAATGGCCTCATTCAAGAGACGGGAAAGGAATTATTTTATACTAGAGGCCCAGTGCACGAAATTCATGCACGGGTGTGGTCCCTAGGCCTGGCCGGTGATCGAAGCAGGAGCGTCTGGCATGGAAGGGCAGGTCCCAGCTGACCTCCGGGCCCTGGGCAGCACCTGGGCCCCTGGGCCTCCACGCACCCCCCTCCACCGGAGTTATCTGCCAGGTTCCCTCAGTGCCTGGGAGCTGGGCGGCATCTGGGGCCCGCTCACACCTGCCTTGGCCTGGTGCCACCCGCTCACCTGCTCCACCATCCCGCTGTGGTCCCGATCTCGTTGGGGCCCATTAGGGCCGGCAGCACCTCCACTGCCACCTGCTGCCTGCTGCCAGCGCATCACAGACACCCGCCATGTTCTGTGCCATCTGGTGGTCAGCACTGTCATAGCGAGCGGTCGAACTCCCTTTGAGAGACAATTTGCATATTAGGCTTTTATTATATAGGATAAGCTAGAACAGTTCACCAAAAGACTTTGGGGTTAAGCACACAGTAAAACAACTTCAGGATGGTTAATTTATGCTTTAAAAATTATAATTTAGTCATAGTTAAATATATTCAGTGAACCTTTTTACTTTTATTATATTTTAATCCTCACGAGGATATTTTTCCATTGACTTTTAGAGAGAGTTGAAGGGAGGGGGAGAGAGACAGGCAGACATCGATTTGTAGCTTCCTGCCCCGCTCCTGATTGCGCAGAGCCTGCAACCGAGGTAATCAAACCGGGGACTCTACAGTCCAAGGGCCAACGCTCTATCCACTGAGCCAAACCGGCTAAGGCCAGTGAGCCATTTTAAAAAACATCCTTTGGTAGTCCACACAGTCTGTTCTGTAACGCTTGACTTTCAAGTCCAAATTTTCCAGAAACAGAATTCATTCTGACTTAAGAAATGTGTTCTGGCCCTAGCCAGTTTGGCTCAGTGGATAGAGTGTCGGCCTGCGGACTGAAGGATCCCAGGTGCGATTCCAGTCAAGGGCACATGCCCAGGTTGCAGGCTCCATCCCCAGTAGGGGGTGTGCAGGGGACAGCCAATCAATGATTCTCTCTCATCGTTGATGTTTCTATCTCTTTCTTCCTCTCTGAAATCAATAAAAATATATTTTTTTAAAAAAGAAATGTGTTCTGTCTACTTTCTATGAACTCTGTATTATTAGTGTATGGTAAGAGTCTTTCAAGAAGGAACAGTTAGCTGGCGAAGCCCTGAATTGGCAGTAGGGAAGGATGCTTGTATATACAAATACTGCATACAAATATATACACACACACACACACACGTGTGTGTGTGTGTATATATGTGCATAACTATATATATATATAGTTATGCACACAAAGATCTAATGGTGCTGATTCCTATCTTAACAGGTTGAATCTGAAAGTAGAAAATGATTGGTTTTAGTTGTTTCCTATTTTAGTTAACTATTTATATGGGTAACTGTAATAAATTTCTTTCCCAGCTTATTACTCAGTTATGGAGTAAGCAGAATACTGTACTGATTTCTTGGAAGTAGCAGGGAAGGAAAATATAGAACTATATAGAAAGACTGCCCTTTAGAAATGTTCTTTAAGCCAGTGTGTCATTGTCTTTTCATTGGGATAAACAGCTTTACTCCTGTCTATTGTGTTTTAGTGATGAGAATAGTGTTTTGCATGGAGTTGGCCCTCAATAAATGTGAGCTTTGTCAGAATTAACATTATATAAACCAAATGCATACATTCCTGGAAAAGATTAAAGGAGTTGAATAAAGGTGCTTTTTAATTTTTTTAATTGAAGAACTACTTTTTTAATGTCTTTTTCCCCCAATGTTGGTTGTTATCTGAGTAAAGGATGTCTAATAGCATCTTTTAAAAAAAAAAATATTTTATTGATTTTTTTTTACAGAGAGGAAGGGAGAGGGATAGAGAGTTAGAAACATCAATGAGAGAGAAACATCGATCAGCTGCCTCCTGCACATCCCCCACTGGGGATGTGCCCGCAACCAAGGTACATGCCCTTGACCGGAATCAAACCCGGGACCCTTGAGTCTGCAGGCCGACGCTCTATCCACTGAGCCAAACCGGTCAGGGCTCTAATAGCATCTTGCCTCTAAAAGCGTAAGGTAATGTGGGAGCATTTCAGATCTTGCTTCCCAGCATATGTCATCAGTTTGGCTCAAATAGACTCAAATATTTTCAGCCCTGGCCAGTGTGGCTCCGTTGGTTAGGTGTCATCCCATCCGGGTTTAGGTTCTGATTCCCGGTCAGGGCACATGCCCAGGTTTCCGGCTTGTCCCAGGTAGGGGGTGTGCAGGAGGCAGCCGACTATTGTGAGCTCACAGAGTTTCTCGCTCCCTTTCCCTTTCTCTCTCTCTTAAAAAAATTTTTTATTTCCAAAATGAAATAAAAGCCTAACATAATGTAAGCTGAGATTCTATATATCCTGAGTGCTAATAGATGGCAGATGTTCTGATGTATTAAGAGAAAATGAAGTTAAAGGAAGTAAGGTCCAGAGGGAAGGTATTGGTAAGTTAGTGGTAGTAACTTGAGGCAATGAAACAGACTGTGGGGAAAAAGTTTTCTTTTACTGACTGTGCTTTCCCTCCTGTGGAAGAGAATTTGGACCTTTCTACCTCTTTTTACTTGAGCTTTCCGGAAAGGTGATTTCTGAATCACAAAATTGTAAAAGGGGTCACTTTTTATCTTACAATCTTCTGCTTAAAAGTCTGAGTATGTTTCTCTTTGTATTTGCAATTCGTCTCTACTCTAACTTTATTGGAAATAAACTAGCGTTTTGATTCCTATCTTAATGCCTGTGTATATTTCTTAATTAGTTTATAACTTGATGGGAAGAGGAATGTGGTTTGTCCCTTCACAAATCCCAACATTGGCTTTTCTTCAATTTGGAAAACAAATCTATTTTACTTTATAGATGTTATCAACAGAAAGGTTTTGTGAACGTTTGAAGAGGTAGGGTTTAAAGAGGTAAATAAAAACTTAAGTAGAAGTATTTTAAATTAAATTAAGTCCTGCATTGTTATTTTAGTATAGCTGAGTGATTCTCATTGTAGGGGGTAGATTTTGTCCCCCAGACACTGTCTGGGGAATTTTTGGTTGTCAGAAATTGGGAAGGGGAGGAGGAGGGTGTAGCTATTAACATCTCTAAGTAGAAGCCAGGGATGCTATTAAGTATGTTAAAATGTACAGGACAACCCTTCACAACAAAGCATTACCTGACCCAAATAATAGTCCTACTATTGAGAAACCCTGGTATAGTTTTATACTATACTAGAGGCCTGGTGCACAGATTTGTGCACTGGTGGGGTCCCTCAGCCTGGCCTGCACCCTCTCACAATCTGGGACCCCTCGGAGGATGTCAGACTGCTGGTTTTGGCCCGATCCCTGGGTATTGGGCTGAAACTGGTAGTTCAACATACCCTGAGGGGTATAGTAGTGTGCAAAGCGGCAGGGAGCTGGAGATAAGCCTGAGCCCAGGCCAGGCGCCATGCCGCTCCCTCTCACCTGGCCCCGCTGCACCTGCTGCCACTTCTGCTCAGTAGTGGTGGGAGAGGCTTGCACAGCAGCAGCTGTGCTTGCCAGCTGTGAGCCTGGCATCTGGTGCCTGTTGGTCAGCTGAGTGGTACTCCTTCTGTGGGAGCGTACTGACCACTGGGGGGAGGGGGGGTAGCTCCTGCATTGAGTATCTGCCCCTTGGTGGTCAGTGTGTGTCATAGCACCAGTCGACCAGTCATTAGACCGTTCAGTTGTTGGGTCGCTTAGGCTTTTATATATATAGAAGATTACATTGTTGGTTCTGAAGGCAGGTTATCTGAATCTCTTTGGCTTTACCATTTCCTAATGTGTTGCTAAAGTCTGCCTCAGTTTCTGTAAAACAGAATTAATAATAGTATGTCTTTTGCCCTGACCGGTTTGGCTCAGTGGATAGAGCATTGGCCTGCGGACTCGGGTCCCGGGTTCGGTTGCGGTCAAGGGCATGTACCTTGGTTGCAGGCACATCCCCAGTGGGGAGTGTGCAGGAGGCAGCTGATCGATGTTTCTCTCTCATCGATGTTTCTAACTCTCTATCCCTCTCCCTTCCTCTCTGTAAAAAATCAATAAAATATACTTAAAAAAAATAGTATGTCCTTCATAGAGTTGTGGTAATGATTAAATCAAATAATCTTCACAGTGTCAAGCTTATTATCTGACACATAGAAAACGCTCAAAAACTGTTAATTTTCAGCTAATATTAATACATTTTGAACATGTCTTGATAATCTCTCCTTATTTATCATCTGAAATTAGAATTTGAGCTAGTGAGAATTAATAACCTAGTTCTTATTATATCCTTGGGGAATGAGTGAAGAATTACTCTTTTTAATATTTGTGTTCAGTTATGTCAGTCTTGTTTTATGTTCTCAAGTCTATAAGGCTTCTGCCATAAACAAATAGCTTCTCATTGTTGATGTTTTTCCTTCATAGTTAAGACTTTAAGCCAACTGGCCAACAGCTCTGTATCTGTTGAGTCTCAGCAAATATTTAGTAATATAACAGAATTCAATTCTGTGACTTGATTCCCATTTCCTCTTGCCTTTATAAAATGAAATAAATTTACATGGTTTTGACTTACATTAAGTATCTGTTCTCAGAGCCTCTGGGAGTAACTATTTTTGTGAGGTTTTGGTGCAATATTGCATGTACTAAGGGTATAGGAAAGAACCTTAACAATTTGAGACTAGGCCTTCAGATACATTTGAGACGCTTTTTCTAAATCTGAATTGGAAACCATATATTTATCTTTTTTATATGAACTCTCATTTTCTGTGTGTCTAAACAATAAGGGCTGGCTTGTTATGATGATGGTTTAATACAGCCTTTACAAAGAGAAAAACATCACAGGGATGTCCTCACAGACAAAACAGAGACTTTGGTCTGTTTGTTAATAAGTCATAGGGCTCTTGTAAGGGAAAAAGATCCATGCCATATTATGATCAAGAGAGAAAGCAGTGTTGCCCTGGCTGGTTTGGCTTAGTGGATAGAGCGTCGGCCTGCAGACTGAGGGGTCCCAGGTTCGATTCCGTTCAGGGACATGTTCCTTGGTTGCGGGCACATCCCCAGTGGGGGTGTGCAACAGGCAGCTGATCGATGTTTCTAACTCTCTAATCCCTCTCCCTTTCTCTCTGTAAAAAATCAATAAAATATATTTTTTTTTAAAAAAGAGAGAAAGCAGTGTTAATACATTCAACTTTTTGTCTTGATAACCCTACCATTTTATTATGGTTGTTACCCAAATTGTAATATAATTCTCAATTGTTGGTATAAAAGTTCACTCATTTTAGCTAATGGAAACGTTTGTTTACTCTCTATATTGGTACTGCCTCCTGTTTGAATAGAGTCATTTGAAGGGAGTCAATATGTTTGGTCAAGAGGTTGTATTCATTGCTTGGCACATTCCACCTTTTGTAAATAATGTACACTGAGGATTGTGTATAAATAATAAATTGTGATCTGGAAACTGTGGCCAGATCAGAAATATACATGTGAGAAGTATAATAAAAGGCCAAAGGGAAACATTCTATGAATGTTTGGCAAACTGAAGAAAAAAAATCATGTTAATAAGAGTTCTTGTCTTTACTGTTATCTTTTTGGGGTTTAATGATCTAGAAGAAAAGAGAATATAAATTATATAGGTATCTGGAATATGTTCCTGTGGTATATAAAATATATTCCTACAGAATATACAGATTTATTTTCTACCTATACACTTTTTCAGTTCCTAAGCAGAGAACATTAAGCTACTAAATCAGTATTATAGTTGAGTTTGTGTGGCATTTGTTCCTACCCGTGATTAAATTGAGAAAAACAAGTATCTTTGAATCTGCTGATGTGTGTTTGTTTATAAGTGGTCTGGAGTCCTGCCTGTTAGCCTAATTTTAGGTTTCCTGCATAGTTGTTGGAAGACAGACTATTTTCCCACTGAATGCCGTCATACAGATACATATTTGTATATATATATATTTATGCATATTTGTTTTTTTATTTTTGGTAGAAAATGATGCATCCTGTTGCCAGCACTAACCCGGCTTTCTGTGGGCCTGGCAAGCCTTCCTGCCTTAATGAAGATGCCATGAGAGCTGCTGATCAGTTTGACATATATTCCTCCCAGCAAAGCAAATATAGCCACACAGTCAGCCACAAACCAATGGCTTGTCAGAGGCAAGACCCATTAAATGACACGCACTTGCAGACTACAAGTGGCAGAAGCATAGAGATAAAAGATGAACTAAAGAAAAAGAAAAATCTCAATCGATCTGGTAAGCGTGGCCGGCCTTCTGGAACCACCAAATCAGCAGGATACCGGACCAGCACAGGCAGACCCCTGGGAACCACCAAAGCGGCTGGATTTAAGACAAGTCCAGGCAGACCTTTGGGAACAACCAAAGCTGCGGGATACAAAGTCAGCCCGGGGAGACCTCCAGGTAGCATTAAAGCTCTCTCCCGTCTTGCCGATCTTGGTTATGGCTGTGGCACTGCTGCTTTTCCTTACCCTATGATGCACAGCAGAGCAGTTCATGGGGTCGAGGAAACCAGCAGTGAAGTCAAGCCACCCAATGAGTGAATGAGGCAGGAAAGGAGGGCCAGGTTTAGAAGGAAGATTGTGAATAATCCCAAAGCTTCTTGGTTTTATTTTGACATACATGATTTTATGACCTGGGCTTTCCACATTTGTTTTCCTGTTTTTTGTTTGTTTTTCCTGCTTTTGCTCAGAAACTGCCATATGCTGGCAGATACACTCGGCACAAGCAGTGGCATTGAATTTGTATATAGATTCAAGTATAACATCTAACTAAAGAATTTTTGCTTTTCCTTTAGAGTTATGATTGTGTCTCATATTTCATTACTACTTTTGGGCCATTCTAAATAGATGCTTTATGTACTAAAACAACAGAATCCATTATACCCATTAGTTTGTGAAGTAAGCCTACAATATAAGAAAGATAATATCTAAGGTATTTTTAACTGATGGAACAAAGCAAACTAATAATTCACAATTATTTGAAGTATGGCTGTTAGTTTTTGCAACTTTTATTTTCATGGGACAGGACACATATTTGTATGCTTTGGCATTTACTTAGACTTCAGATGTTAAAAATTTTATTTTTAATGTTCTAAGTTTAGGCAACTTGTTATTTATTGATCTAAATGGCATTAACTGATTTAACCATTTGTTCCTAAAGGAATTATTTAATGTTTGCCTTTCAGCAATGATAGGTTGTGTCTTTTTTAATTGCCTAAGAGCATATATACCAAACACTACAAACGATTCAAACTTTTTAATAAAAACTGCATATTACATTTTTGGTGAAATACAGTGTATTCTGAGAATAGCATATGTAATATAATAGAAAAAGAAACATTCTTAAGGTTTGCATGGAACTGTATTCACTACATTTTGCCTTTCATAGACTTAGTTGTAAAGCATTATGCTTAAAACATTTATTGTTGTTCATTTATTCAGAATGTTTAGTGTTTTGTTGTTGTTTTTTTCTGAGAAACTGTCTGTTGCATTAGCACTTACTGTGGATTCAGGTTTATACCTACCAAAGGACACAAACTGAATGGTAGACTAAAACTGCTATAAACAAAATGCAGTTTTCTGACTGTCAGAATACAAATATTAAGAAATATATAGGAATCCATCTGTGCATGGAATATGTAAAATATATGTGGGTTAGTTTAATTAAACACCTAATTGTGGCTCCAGTGAGACCACACCCAAAATTTTTCCAGCAGTGTTTGCTTTAGAAGTAAGATAGATGGAAAAGAAAAAAAGTATTGGGTATAGTAGGGACGAAAGGAAGTCTTCTTGACCCCTTTCTGAAAGTAATATTTTTTTGTTGATATACATTTTATTTATCCTGAGTTTGGTCTGAATAAACTATTATAAACTTTGGATTTGAAAAAAATTCCACTGAACTTTAAAGTTACAATGTATGTATTTGTGATTTAAAATGCCTTTGAGATTATAATGTATATTTGCAGGACCCAAAAACTTTTAAAGTGATTAAAAGTTTAAAAAGGCACATATTGTGTTGTTTGGGCTTGCTCTCAGTTAATACAAACTCTGATTGCAAATGGATGTCATGTTTCGTACCTTTTTTATCAGGAAAAAAGCAGCAAGCCTACAGGTGTTCCAGTGATGCCTGACACAATGAGCTGGAGTTTATGCTGCTCTTTACAGTAAGAGGTGTTGCATTGTATGTGGGGACTGTGTGTGCACTGGCATCTAAGACAGTGACCTCAACAATTTTAGCTTTGCACAAACCATAGCAAACAATGTTGGATGATTACATAATCAGTTGCAACATTCAGGCAGCTAAATTGCAGAAGCCTAAACTATAAAATTTTAATCATTTACTCAGAACAGTATAACTTTTGACACACACAAATGCATACATCTTTATTCATATATTTATCCACTTTCATTATCTGTCATTTAGCTATTTCTCAGATTGATGTTCAGCAGTTGGCTACTTAGAAATCCTGTTTTGAGTTCCTGAAAACGGTTGTTTAATTAAATATTCTACTGTAGAATAATATATACCACTGTCAAGGATTTGGTTGCATGATGTGTTTTTATATGTCCATTTGACATTGCCTTTCAGTTTATTTTGATTCCAGATTTTGTTATACATAACTTTCCCTTTCTCTCTGCCCTTCCCAACATTCATTCCCTCCCATTTTCCCCATCCTCCAGCACATCTACTCAGTGGTGCTGTGCTGTGTGTCAGAAGGTAAAGCAGGTGTATTATTGTATACTGATTTTTTTAATCCATTTTAATGAAATGGTGAAATCAACTAAAGGAAGTATGTGCATAACAGTGTTTATTAGTATCAGGAGCTGTGTCCCAGGGAAGAAAGGGGGCAAATGGCTACAGTTGTGAATGGATAACATCATTTATAAAACTGAATTTTCTGTTCATGAGCAGTTACTTGGAGTACTAGATCTGTGCTGGTGAGCATCTCCTGATTCTACTTCCTTTTCTCCTTGTGAACAGTTTATTGATGCCATGCTGAAGAGAAAGACACAGCTAAGTGATAACATGAAGTCTTAAACTAGAAAATATTTTTACTTATCTATACTCTAAACACTACATTGTGCATCTTTTGTAACACTGTCTCTTGTCATGACAAACACTGAAATAGCATGTTAAAATGCCTACACTTTAATATAATCAGTTGGGGAAAACTGGCCTTTTCCTCCCACTGTATGATTGTTCCTTTGTTCCTTTAAAGGTAAATTGCTAATTTTATATTGTGTAATTCTCTTCACAAAATAGGTTTCACTATTCTGTATTAAAACTGTTGGTCAGAAAATTATCTGCTGTTCAAGTAAGTTTGCTTTACTTTTTTCTTTAAAAAATATTTTAACATGCCTTATTTATTACTCTTACATTAACCAATGAGCTAATGCAGATGAAATATTCATTTTTTGACAAATATAACCTTGCATAATTAATCTTTAGTAGGGGATGATTTTGATACTATCTTTGGAGTTTTGCACTGGATATTAAAAAATACTGGCATGTTGTGTTGGAAGAAAAGTATCTGCTTAATTTTTAATATTTGGGGACATTTTTAAAATCAGTGTTTCAATTAGACTAAAAAATTCTTTATTTTTATTTACTTTTTAAAAGAAACATGTTAAAGTAATAAAAGTAATATTCATTCCAAACTAATGTTTGTGTGAATTTACATGTATATTTTCATGAAGTAAGAATAAAGTTTGAGTTAAGGAGGAAAAAAATTATCTGAAATCATTTACTTAGGTTAAAGGTAATCCATCCAGTGTAAGGGTTAAAGAGAAAAAAAACACCAACCTTCTCTTTTGTATTTTAAGAAGCTTTAAAAGAACAATTCAGGGGATGTTGACTATAACTGCTATTCTGTCAGTCATTGTCTTTATATGCAGAAACATTTTATGATCCCTTTATAGTAAAATAGAAGAACTTACAGCAGTTGTTGAAAACATGTTTTCCTTGGACATAAAATATTTTGATGCTTTAGGTTTCTGTTTTTATTATAGCTTATTATAGCTAACTATATCCTATTAAACTCTAGGATGTATCTAAATCTTTGCTTTTCCTCCATCACCCCCAAGTAGATAAATCCGTGCTTTCACATATAATGTATTTAATTTTTGGAAAATTAAATGCTATAGTAAATCAAGTGTGTGATTTATAGCAATCAGACCACTTTGATTCTTTAAGCTTCACAGTTTCCTTTTTCCACAGATAATTACAGAGAAAATAATTACCAATTAACTGATATAAGCACGCTGTCCTCTGCTGTAAAAAGTCTGAATAGATACTGTGTATGTTTTTATGTCCATGAACTTGAGCTACTCATGTGCAATTGTGTGTATGGGAATGGAGTAGTGTTCATGATTTGTATCTACATCATCATATGGATGTATATTTATTAATAAAGTCATTACTTTAAAACCAACTATGTTTACTACTTTATTTCTGTAACTAGGGGAATGGTAAATGATAAACCTTTTTTTATGACCATGGATCTTGTATTTTCTTGGATTGTGCTTTCTGAAATCTCCTCTACACTTTTGTTTTTTCTCAAAACAGTAATATTTATGTATTTGTAATGTAAAATTTAACTTATAAATGGATCTTATTTTCTTTGTTATTTCTTGTCCTTTTTTAAAATATATTTTATTGGTTTTTTACAGAGAGGAAGGGAGAGGGATAGAGTTAGAAACATTGATGAGAGAGAAAGATCCATCAGCAGCCTCCTGCACGCCCCCTACTGGGGATGCGCCCACAACCAAGGTACATGTCCTTGACCAGAATTGAACCTGGGACCCATCAGTCCGCAGGCCGACGCTCTATCCACTGAGCCAAACCGGTTCGGCTATTTCTTGTCTTTTTGATAGTAGCCATTCTAACAGGTGTTGGACTTACTCTTAAATGCAGAGAATTTTTTTACTATTTAAGTAAAAAACCACTTTAATTAGTAATTTTCCCAAGCTTTCAAGTAGTCTAATAAATTCAGCAAACTTTAGTAACTGTTGAGCACGTACTCTACAGTGGCAGCTCACATTATGAATAAGATAGTCTCTACCCTCAAGGAACCCATAGTGGAAAACAAATGCCTTGATATGTAGAATTAAACAATGTAATGCCAATTTTTATTCACTCAGAATTGACATTTTAAGATACTTTATCTCTCAAATTAGCTAATTAATTTTAGCACAGAGCCGGTGAAACTAAAGCCCATCTGCCTAGCCTTAAGCTTTAGGCTAGTTTTTAGATGAATTTCACAAGAAAAACTGATTGCTGTGCTTATTCTCTATCGGCTCAGAAGGATCAGGTCAGAGATCTTCATAAGTTGTGATAATGCTGGCTTTTAAATCATGTTGGGAGCTACTTATGTGGCTGTTGTGCTTCCTCTGTCACATAAAGAACTTTAGATCATCAGCCCATGCGTCCAAAGGTCTCGGGTTTGGTTCCTGATCAAGGGCATGTGCTTAGGTTGCAGGTTTGATCCCCAGTGGGATGCAACCAATTGATGTGTCTCTCACATCACAAACTCTATTCTTATCACATGTTTCTCTCTCTCTCACCCCACCCCCCCACTGTCATCCCCTTCCACTCCCTCTAAAAGATTGTGTGTATTTTTTAAATCATGAGTGGGTGTTGGATTTTGAGACATCCTTACAGACATACCCAGAAATAATGTTTTACCAGCTATCTGGGCATCCCTTTAGCCCATTTAAATTTACACTTAACATTAACCATCACTGTAGTCTTTGATCATCTTGGCCTAGCTTCTTTATTTCATTAGGGGCTGCAAAATGGCAATTTTAAATTCTATTGTTTCTTTATCAATTAGGTCAAATATTTCTATACTAAAAACCTTCCCCTCATCAAATACTTGGTTACCCTGAAATAATTCTTGTCAGGCACATAAATGCCAGATTCTTTCCTTTTACCTACCAGTTTTCTGAATGAATTGGTTCTCCATCATCTTCCAAAGGTGATTAAGAATTTTTTTTTGTATCAGTATGAACTCATGGATTCTAAGGTGATTTATTTCTGGCTATTGAAATTACTCATTTTTATGCTCAAATTGTTTCATCTTTAGCTAGTAGGAGCCAGTTTGGCTCCTTACTCATTTTGACATAATCCTAGTATATCAAGATGGTATGACAAGATGTTCCAGACTTGCAAAAAGGTCTTATGACTTAGCAAAGCAATTTAGGGAAGCAGTGTGCTCTGTCTTGAATTTTAGGGTGTTTGGGGTTTAGAAGAATGTCCTCCATTTTTTAAAATTGCTATTTTATAAAATACAAAAACTGAAAGGATCTACAATGGCATATTGGCATATTAAAATTTTTTTTTTGCCCTGGCTGGTGTGGCTTGGTTGGAGCGTCGTCCCATACACCAAAAGTTCCATTCTGGGTCAGGACATATACCTAGCTTGCTGGTTTGGGTCAGACAGGGCTCATCCGGGAGGGAGGCAACTAATCGATGTCTCTCACATTGATGTCTCTCTCTCTTTTTCCCTCCCCCCCCCCCTAAAAATTCAATTAAAAATACCTTTGGATGAGGATTAAAAAAAATTTTTTTTTTGCAAACAGGATATTTAAATAAAGATAGGTGGGATAAGGAAGGAAAACAAAAGCACAGTTTAAAGTGCTATACTAGTATATTCAGTCTGAGATCTGTTGCTAATAAACTTCTGATTCTAGGGTATCCCTCTGAGCAGGCATTGGAAATGTGAGATATCACTAAGCATAAGCCTTTTGTTTTCAAATTATAGTCCTTCCCTGCACACGGATGTCTTACCCATATCAGTTTCTTTTCTTTTTTTTTTTTAATACATTTTTATTGATTTTTTACAGAGAGGAAGGGAGAGAGATAGAGAGTTAGAAACATCAATGAGAGCGAAACATTGATCAGCCGCCTCCTGCACACCCCCCACTGGGGGTGTCCCCGCCACCAAGGTACATGCACTTGACCGTAATCAAACCGGGACCCTTCAGTCTGCAGGCCGGCGCTCTAGCCACTGAGCCAAACCAGTCAGGGCCCCATATCAGTTTCTTGCTTTGATAAAGCACCCTGTGAGCTTTTTTCCCTCTCCCTTCCCTCCTGCCATGGCACCCCATTTGGATAAAGGTTTGTTTTTTCACGGCACTTGGTAAAGTATTATTTTTGTTGCAATCTATGTATATAAAAGCCTAAGCAACCATCCAACCGGTAGTGATGACGCACAATGACCACCAGGGGGCAGACACTCTGACCGGTAGCTATGACATGCACTGACCACCAGGGGGCAGACAACGCAGGAGCTGACTAGCTGCAGTGACTTGACAGTTCTCTGGTGATGCACTCGGAACCAGAGAGGAGGGAGCTGGATTCCAGGGTGCATCACCTGAGAACCACACTCTCGCAATCTGGGACCTCTCAGGGATGTCAGAGAGCCGGTCTCAGCCCGATCCCCACAGGCCAGGCCCAAGGGACCCCACTGATGCACAAATCCATGCACTGGGCCTCTAGTTGCTTCTATGAAGCTAGAAATTGTTGATCTAGCCCTTGTCAAATGTTTGAATCCTGGTTTCAAATAGATATTGAGTAGTGGTTAAGTATTGTTTTGGGCACTCACTGCCTATTTCAGTGGCCTATTTGGTTAATCATCTCAGTTTGTTTGATATTTATGTTACTTTTCTGTTTGTAGCAAAATACATTGTATTTAGAGATGGAACGAGACTTGAGTCCCTGCACACTCACTCACTAGCTTATGACTTTTCTCAAATTGTTGCTTAATTTTTCTAAGTTTCAGAAATGGGGTTTGTAATGAGAATAACGCATGTGGGTAATTTAGAATACTGACAGTTTGGATTTGGGTTCATATTCAAACACTGCCATTTAATGTGGGACCTTAGGCAAATTACTATTTTATTTTTAAAATTATAATGTATTTGTTCCAAGGATATAAGAATTTTATGGCCCATAAAATCAAAATACTTAACCCAGCACTTGGGATATGTTAGTATGATAATTTTAGTTTTTGTTATACATTCAAAAAGGTCTTTTAACAAAGTATCTTAATAAAATGAAAACAGACTGAATTTTTAAAAAATATATTTCATTGATTTTTTACAGAGAGGAAGGAAGAGGGATAGAGAGTCAGAAACATCAATGAGAGAGAAACATGGATCAGCTGCCTCCTGCACACCCCCTACTGGGGATGTGCCCTCAACCAAGGTACATGCCCTTGACCAGAATCGAACCTGGGACCCTTGAGTCCGCAGGCTGACTCTCTATCCACTGAGCCAAACCGGTTACGGCCAGACTGAATTTTTTAATTTGTAAAGTTTGCCCATTGATTTGGGCATTTGAGTATTGATATTAGCAGAACACCAGGCAGGAGATATTCCTTTTACCTTCAAGTTTCTTGAAATGATCTGGAGTGGGGATGGAGCAGGGTAAGAAGAATATAAATTGATGCAGGTATTCTTACTTGGAAAGCTTGGCTGTAAGGGTACTTCCAACACTTGAAGGATTTGATCTTCCTTCTTGAGAATTGCATATACTGTTTTTAGAACAAAAGATATATGGCCTATTACCCTTTTTATAGTCACCTTTTTTGTTGTTATTATTAATCCTCACTGGAGGATACTTTTTCCATTGATTTCTGGAGAGAGTGGGAAGGAGGAAGGGAGGGAGAGAGAATGAGACCCCACACACACACACTCTCACTCCCCTCCCCACACACAGAGAAACATCAACTGATTGCCTCCTGCATGCGCCCCAACTGGGCCCTTGACCAGGAATTGAATTTGCAACCTTAAAGTGCACAGGCCGATGCTCTACCACTGACAAACACTGGCCAGGGCTATAGTAATTTTTTTTAATGTGAGAATTTTTTATTTATTGTTGAAAGTTATACAGGTGTACCTTTTCCTCCCCATTGACTTCTTCTAGCCCTAGCTCTCCCCTACCCCCACCTCCCAGGCCTTCACCACACTATTATCTGTGTCCATGGGTTAAGCATATATAGTCACCATTTTTATGTAAATTTTAATATTTTGAAGGTGAGATTAGTGAATCAGTATCTCCAAATGCTATACTGGATACAGTGTCAAACACAGTAAATTGAATAATAATTTAGGGGTTTATTACTTTAAGATTTTGCATTTCTGAAACAACTTCTCAAATCCTGTTCAAGTGCTTCTCAAAAAAAAAAATTAGATTCAATTAACTGAAAAGGGAAGGAAGAACATGTTAGATAAGTAGGTAACTGACAATTAGGTAATGGCTGGATAGGTTTTTTTTAATGTTATTTCATATTATTTATAACATCATCAAGTGTTTATACCATAGGTATCCAAATCTTATTACTCAGCTGTGATAAGGCAGCCTACAGTCTGTCTCCTAATGCTCCTCATTTCCTGGTATGTCCTTGGATAGCCCTCTCCCACACCGTAC